AAAAGTTGGTGGACATTCTATCAAACTATCCAATTTTGCTAAAAAATTTAAATGTGAGAAAGAGCAATACATTATGGAAAGTAAAATAATTATAGCGATTTTCATAGTAATCATGGATTAAAAAAAATAAAAAACAGTTCCCCAAATACATCAAAAATTGATACCATAGATAGCTCCTTGATCTCAGAAATTTTATCATCATAAAAAAAAAAAAAACAAACCAAAATACATCGACCCATAGCAAAGAAGATATTGTACCTCGTTGCAGTTTGAAATAGCTCGTTAGGCAAATAGAAGAGAAAAAAAAAATATTAGCTCCTTGGCTCCAACGTCGTTGGTAGTTGGCGAGAGAGAAGGTAGTGTCGTTGGTCAGTGAAATGAGAGAATATATTGCTTGCGTCGGTGTCGAGAGAGAAAGCGGCTACATGAAGGATTTTGGCAAAGAGGTATCGGGGACTTGCAAAGAGGTATTGGGGGAGTGGGAAGAAATGAGAAGTTTAAATGAAAAGTGATTTTTAAAAGTAAAAGTTAATTATTTTACTTTTTTTATTAACTTATTTAAGTGCTCAAATTACTTTTACTTATCAAAAAGTGTTTTTAATAAGTTAAGTCAAACATGCTTTTTAAAAAAAATATTTTCATAAATTAAAAGTCCCAAAAATACTTTTTTTTTAAGTGATGTGAAACACACTCTTGCTCCCTTGGTTAGCCCATCCATGGCCCTAGGTATTCTTTGACCGGCTGAGGCGATTTCGGCCCATTGACTAATAAAAGCCCCTGTTGCCTGGCCACATACGGGCTTGGGCCTGGCCCTAAGTTACCTTTATGGTTTCGTGAGTAAAGATTTGTAAAAATTGAGGCTGAATTCTTATGAACTTATAATGACTTGAACCCGTCAAATAAATTTATTTGGTGATAAATTTATTTTTTATCTTAGTAATAAGTATTTAAGTTCACTATTTTTTTAAATCCAAAAAATATACTTAACAGTGTTATTGTGTTCAATTGTAGAAATCTTAAAGATTTTGAAAGTATCTTTAAATTAATTTTTAAATTAGAAATTATTATCCCTTAATTTACTCCTAATTTGAAATTCAAATTTATACTCTCTCTATCTCTCTCGCGCGTTAGAAGAATATCCTCTCATTCAATAATAAATACAAACCTTCACAATAACAATTACAAATTGTAATGAAACATCTATTTTTTTCATAGTAACATCAAATTTTTATGCATAATAACACAACGACTTTAACAAAACTCAGGAGGATATATGTTACACAGTAACATTAACGAGATATTTTTTTACACAGTAACATCAATGAAATATTTTTTCCTTCACAGTAACAATAATTTTCCCTTACCTTTCACAAACTACCGTCCATAAATCAAAAAATTAAATTATTTAAAATAGTAACACATAATCGTCAGTTGAACTATGACACTCATATCCACTTATGAATGTCAAGCATCAAATATGTAAAAATAATTTTCCTTTTCTTTCATAGTAATATCAATTTTTTTCCACAAGTAACATAATCAAGCATTTTTCGATTGTATTGCACAACAAAAGATCCAAAAAATTGAAACCTACATTATTTAATTTAGTAAAAATGAATCACATTTTAAAATTAGGAATGCAAAAAACAATAACAATTTTGAAATCTTTGAGGCTTCTTCCTCTAGTTATGAGTTTGAATGCTACTATTTTTATATTCAATTTTGTTCAATATTCCATATTGCTTTTTTTTTTTTGAGCATGTTAATATTTTTGTTAAGTATGTTACTTTTTTTTGTTAAATATGTTACTATTTTTTGTTGAACATGTTATGATTTTTGTTGAACATGTTACTATTGTTATTTTTTTAAAAATATTAATATTAAATGTTACTATTTTTTTATGTTTAAATGTAACTATTTTTTTGTGATTAAATTATAATTTTTTTTTGTATTTAAATGCTACTATTTTTTATTTTTAATGTTACTATATATAAGAGAGATATATATAGTCCTAACCTATATATAGATATAGATAGATGTGATGAAGATATTTTTTTTTAATGTTTGTCAAACTTCTAAAATTTAAGAATTTTTAATTTTTAGTTTTATTTTACATCTAAAAGGAAGGGATAGTCAGATAAAATTGTTAGGGTTTATGAAATTCATAAATTAGGCTTCCTATAACCGAAATTAGGGTTTTTTATGTGTTTTTTTTTTACCTGCCTTTCCTTTTCTGTTTTGTGTTCATGTTGTGTTTTTATATGTTTTTTTGATTAAAATCCCTCCAGTATACTTTCTACAATTTCCTCAATGATAGATGACCCTTATTGGTAGATCACCATGGAACCCACTTATGGATAGTGGTTCCACTCGAATTTATTGTAAAGATTTTCCTTGTGTAAAATTGAGAAAAATTGTAAATAAAGATCATTCTTTGATTACTTTGGTTACTATGAGAAAACAAAATCAATTGAGCATTGTGATTTAATAAATAAAGTAGTCAAATTGGGCATGATGGCAGTAATTGCTGCCTGTTTTAGTTCTAATATTGAAGAATGATCTTTATTCGAAGTAATCAGTTCCAGTCCTCTCCTTCCTCCCTTAACACTATCAATGCTTTCTTTTGCAATTATATGCTTATGCAAGTATTGTATTCCACAAATTGTATATTTATCATAAATTTTTGCAACCCATGATGGAAATTCTGTGTTTTATTATATCCTTGTTTAATCTATTTAAACATCATTATGATTATATTGCAATATCATCTGTATTTTTTAATGTTTTATTTCTCTGTGTTTGTGAAAAAAATTCTGCATGTTTATGCAGTAAAACAAGGCTAAAGATGAGTGGTTGCTTTATTTTATGTTGATCATTCCTCATCTGCTTACATTCACTTCATTTCAGTTTCCTCAGTATAACAGATGCGATTGAAAAAGCATAAGCATATATTATGGCAACATGGGCTGCTACTATTGCACATAATAATGAGGTTATACAATGCTTGCTTTGGCTGTCATGAGCCCTTTAAGGTTCTCTGTGATGGAACTTTTGTGTATCACTTCCGCCGATACTGCCCTATCCAAAACTCTAGGTACTACAGTCAAGATCTTTACTACCAGGTCTGCTACTATTGTTCCTTTTTTATTATTTAAGAATGTTGGATGATCTCATTTACTTGTAATTTTGTTGACAATTTCATACCTTTTTTCTTCTTTTTATTTTTTATTTTTTATTGTGGGTGGGTGTTGTAGATGAGTTCTTGTGGAGTTGAGAAGCCTTGGCGAATCCTATTCTGAATATCTTAATGCAGCTTGTAACCTTATAACTGCAAGGTCAGAAATCCCTCTCTCCCTACTTCTTCTCAGCCTGGCTTCATTTTAAGGAAAAAATATCTAAACAAAATATGATGATGTTAGCTTACTTTCATAACTTTGATAGTACTATACACTGAAAAACTGCTCAAGTTGAGCAAATCAACCCATACAGTAGTATTTTGACATTATTCCTGTAATTCTGATGGAAACTCATTTTTAGATGTGACCATGAGAAGCCAAAGAGTACTATATCTAGCATAGTAGCAGTTATTGGAGAAAGCAATCCTGAGCATTTTTTTGTTGCTACTCTGGATGCCGATTTAAGGAAGAAATTCTAGGAGGTTTGTGCAATTTTCTTTTGATAGATGCTGATTAATGCTACTGTGTGTTGTTTCTGATATGCCAACTGGTCCTGTTATTTGACTTCGGTGAGATATGAAGTTTTCTTTCTGAAAGGAAAGGATGATTTTTCTAGTAATGTTCAAGTTAAAATTTCCGTACCAATTCTTATCGAATTTCATGGTGTATTTATGTGAGGAAATAGCATAAGCTTAAAGGATAAATTATAGTCTTTTCTATTATATGTTTCATGGTTGTTTGTTAATCATCGAGAAAATGTAATGGGAATGATTGGAATATTCCTTAATGATGATTTCTGTCCTTTGGAATTACCCTATGTTTTATAATTTCATGGGTGAACTAGGAAGCATAATCCTAATACTAATGATCACCCTGTTCCTTACTTTCCAATAGCATGTGAACCAATTTTTTTCCCCTCCAAATCAACAATGCCAAAAGGGGTTTGTTTGTTAATGTTTAAGGCAGTATGCCTTTTTGAGGTGTTTCTAAATATTTGTGGGATTTTGCGGAAACATGGTTCGGTCAAGACTCAAGAGCAAGACCAGAAAGATTAAAGCTTGAAAATATTGATATGCTTGTGCTCTTTACCTGAATGGACTTATCTGTGACAGAACTTGAGATGGAGAATAAGAGGCATTTATTCTGTAGACTTCAGATTAACTCATAAATCTCAGGGGTGATTGGGGGGGGGGGGGGGGGGGGACGACCAATGCACAGTCTTTGTGCCTAAAGATTGAAGAAAGGGTTAAGGGCCTCCAACACCTATAAATAGAAGCTTTCTTCAGTCTCTACTTGACGAAAGAAACTGGGACGAACTTAGAAGTCAGCAAGACTTTGAGAAATGTGTAGGAAAAGAGAGCATACTTTCTATTACTTGAAAAAATTGGGATGCTTGTTCACTTTACCTGAATAGACTTATCTGTGACAGAACTTGAGATGGAAAATAAGAGACATTTATTTTGTAGACTGCAGATTGGCTTCATTTATGAGTTGCAGACAAACTTGTTTCCAATAGCTTGTCAATGATGAATACAATCAGTAGGCTTTAGAGCTTCTTTTTTCTTTATTTTTTCTTTCACGTGTCAGTGTGTAGTTTAGGTTAGCTTTATGAGGTAGTTTCCGGCCCTCAGAAAACAGATGTTATTGGTATTATTTGAGATGCATGAAAGCACCTTCTTCTGTCATCCTTGGGCCATGCACCTTCACAAGTTTTGAATTTGGTCCTCGTTTTGGACTTTGATGATTCGGAGTGTTTTGTAAGGATGCTTCATAATTTATCATTAACAATTCAGTATCTGTGGGGGTAGGATCAACTTGCACCTTGGTGGGGGTGAGATTGGGTACTTGTGCACCTCACAACTGTTTTTCCTTGCAGGGTTCATACATGACAGAGTCCACCATTTGACCATTCGATTTTATTGTGCTTATAAGAATGCCAAATCAAGGCTGCTATTTTACACCATCTGTAGGTCCTACCCCAAATATGTAGGTAATCCTGTTCCTCACTCAATTTGCCACGTGACTCTATCCCAATTATTCAATCTTTAAAAAAAAAAAAAAAATCAAATGTTTCGAGAAGTATATACATTCATTTACAAGGTATTTATCTCCGGCTGCAGATACCAGTTGTTCCTGTAATCATTGGTCTTCGAAATGCCCTATTACTCGAACAGCCGTCTGCCTTTCAACACCAGTTTGCCAAGTCTGCTGAGAAGGAACGTTCGCATATGACTGAGTTGGAGTATCAAATGATAAACATGGGGACAAAGAAGCTGGTCACTGAGTAAGCGAGGGATTCCTCTGATTTTAATAAGGTGTGGAAGATCAAATTTCAGGTAGCCAGGTTTTGAAGACAAATAAAGCAAGAGGATGGATGTGAAGGATAAAGTTCAATTTAGGGGAAAGAGACTTAAGGTTATGATCAATGACTCTACCATTCTTTTCCCTTATTCTGGTCCTGGTTTGATGTTTTAATCCTGGAATGCTGTTGGCTGCATTTGTTTTCTATTCTCAGCTTTAACTGCATATTTATATATCTCCATTTCCATGCGACTGGTTAATACTTGTCTCACAAGTATACCTCCTGACTTCATGTGGTTTATTACCTTAGGCGATCTCATGACAACTATGAACTATAACGTGTGTGGATTACTTAAACCAAAAGGTGGATGTCTTTGGGATAATGGATACTGGAGTGCATGTTGAAGCGAAGTCTAGCTCTGGGTTGTTGCACAACTGTTACTTTACTAGTTGCAAAGTGGTTCTTCTATACAAGCACTACCAAATTGTGTCAGCCAGTGTAGCTGTCCCGGTAGTTATCGGGTTTACTTTTTGTCTTTTGCTTTGCAGGGTCCCAGTACTCTTATGTTAGAAGGAAAAAAATCATGGGAACCTGAATCTTGCTTCAGGAAAGGTGAGTTTGCACTCTGTTGGGGCTTGAAATCTTTTAAGTCTCCTTGTCTTGATTATTGTGTGGACAGCATTTTACTCTAAAAAGAGTGAGTACAACTAACAAGGGGTATTCAGTAGGTAAAGAGAAGAAAAGAAAAGCAAAACAGAATGGCCAAGTTGGAGGGTTTCCCAGCCTAGCAAAGTCAAAACCAGATCCAAACAGCACAAAAGAACTAATATCTGCAACCAGTATTAGATACCTAGACAAGCACTGGAAGCAAACAAAGCCTATAAAACATGTTCATGTCAGATTCAGGCATAAACTCAAATATATACTGGAACATATTGCTGCCAAAATACATGATGGAAGTATTCTTGTGCTTTGTACATCTTAACGAGGTGGTGCATTCATCTCTTAAATCTACTTTCTATTAGGGAATGGGCGCACACACGCATGCACGCACCCGAAAAAAAAGTGTTTGTGGGTTCTCCTTTGAGAATGCATGTGCTTCAAAGATTGATGGTTGGCAGAGTGTGGTTTTCCGTGTGCTTGTGTAACTTTGCTTTCCCATCCAATCAGATTTACAAAAATATTGAATTAATGCGGAGAAATTTTAAGGCCTGTTTGATTTGTGTCTTAAAAATAGTATTCAAAAATAGTTTTTAAAAAATGTATTAAAAACATGTGTTTTGATAGTTTTAAAAAACAAAAAATTGATAAAACCTGTTTAGACAATAATACACAAAATCCCCCAATTTTCATCTCCATTCCCATCTCTCTATCTCTCTCCATTATCTCCTCAGAATCTCCGCTCACACAACTCACATAGCAAATACACCCACACACTCACTCAACAAATACCCCCACAGTTGCCGGAGAAGATGAGACAAATAGAGTAAACGACGTGGAGACTAAAGAACAAAAAATTCTAATATATTAAACTTGATAAAATACAAAAAAAAAAAGTAAAAAAAAAGAAAATTTTTGCCTTGTCATACAACATTAAGTGGCTCCAACATACGCAAATAAAAAATTCACACACAGAAAATCCAATACACCCAAATCATTAACGAAGAAAAAAAAAAGTGGTAAAATGCTTGGAACTAATTCAGATATATCATATCTATAAAAAAATTAATCCAGATCTGATCTGAAGCAACCTAGTCGTCTAAGATTTGATCTGAAGCAACCCAGTCGTCGGAGAGCTCTCATCGGAGAAGACGATGTCTAGTTGCCGGAGAAGATCCTTTCGCCGTAGAAGACGATTAAAAAAAAAAGGGAGAAAGGTTAAAAAAAAAACCTTTTAGGAAAGGATCTATTTTGTTGTTAAGGAGATTTGAACGGAAAACCTCGTTAATGAGCAAAAGTGTTCTCGGTGTTTCCTTTTTTCCCTTATTTTGTCTCCAAAACACCCAGAAACAAGATGACTTGTTTTTAATTTTTATGCTCCACTTCCCTTTTTTATCCGAAATTTAGAGAAGAAAAAATCAAATCAAACAGCTTTTTATTGTTTTCAGAGTTTTGAGAACAAAAAACAATTTTCAAAATTCAAACTAAACAGGTCCGGGGGTTTCTGATCCATCAGGAACCAGGTTACTTGTTATAGCAACTGGCATGGGTCCTGAAGAACTTGTACTCTATGCTGTGGTGCTATTTTCGCTAAACTGTTATGAGAATGAGAAAGAAAAGAATTCATCTGATTGTGTAATCACCAGTCTCATTTGGGCACGTGGCTCTGGGGTGTAATGAAAATTTCCATGTGTTCGTACTCATTTACTACACTTCAGGGAACACGATTTGATTATGACTTCTATTATTATGGAATCAAAGTGGTGAAACCCATGACTATTAGGGGACAACTTGAGTTTAATCCGTGATCAATGTAAAGGATGGTTTTGCAATACCTATGGACATCATAGCATTTCACAAAAATAGTATAGAATACATGTTCTGGAGATTTTTTTTTATTCATTTTTTTTTTGGGGGTTTTTGGAGATTCCTATTTGTATAGAATTTTTGAAAACCCCACACCATATTTGAACAAATTAGATTAAGGAAGGTGAATGATCTGTTATATGTACATTTTAGTTTTTCATCTTCTTGTTGGTGAGTTGTGGACATTTGAATGCCGGAAAGCAGTGATGGGGAGGGAACAGAATAGGTCACCCAAGAGCTCACGAGTATAGTTTGCAGGCACAATTAGTTGACAGTGCATGAATTTGCTGAAAGCTTCGACCTTTTTGGCTGTCCTGGAGCTTATAGGTGAATGAACGAGTGCTTTCAAATTTTGAACTTGTTGCAGATAAGGCTTAAGTTTATATAGAGCATAGTCTGATGAGTGATAAGGAGGTTTTTTTTTTTTTTTTCTCACAGGAAGCGGGAGTATGAGTAGCAATAGCTGCTCTTAACCATCCCACCATTCCTTACATTAGGAAGGAATGGAGTAAGGGATGACTGATTAGTGAAAGCTGTCCTTTTAAGGTAGAGTTTTCTCTTTTCAGAATTGAGTTACTAAAGTCATTGTTAGTGCATCGAGTTACTCATCAAAACATCTGTAGCTCCAAGATTCCAATGGAGTAATGTGCAAAATTCAGTTCACTCTTTATATAAAGCAAATTGCATCACCTACTCAACTCAAAAATCAATTGTTTTTGCTTGCAAGTTGTCAATTTTAAAGGCAGATCACAAGCTGTTGTTTTTTTTTTTGGGTAAGTTGTTGTTTTAAATGCTCAAAATCATACATCTTTCATCCATTTTCTCAAATGTCGTAGGCTCAGAACTCATACAACTGAGCAAGAGGTAGTTGATTTCAACCAACTTGAAGGAAATAGAGAAGGGGTGGCAGTAATAATATAGGGAAGGAAAGACACACACAGTGGACGTTAATACACAGACACTAGTAGAAAGTACAACTAGACTGCATAGCAGTCAAACAAGAGATCAAGAAGTAGGCGATGAAATCCATACAAAATGATCTGCTTGGAAGAAGTGGCAAACAGGAAGCCCCGGCTCAGTGCCGAGCATACGAAAGGACACATGATTCCGGCTCCATTGAGTGGTGTCCGTGTGGCAAACAGCAACGGCATACACCTTAGCTCCATCCTCACCTGCCAGTAAAACCTTGAATACCCTAATCTTACTTTCTGTACTATGACAGTGGAAAACTGCATAAGGGTAACTCAGTCTGTGACAAGCCACCAAATTGGTAGCTGATATTTCTTTGGGTGCTGCCAAGACAGTATAGTTCTGTACAAGAGTATTGGACTTAGAAGTGAGGTGAGTAGTGGCTAGAACTTTGATTTGGCTCTTCAATCCTAAAATACTACTCACAAAATCAAGCATTGATTCTAAGGAAGTGGCACAAATCTTGATCTCTCCTTCAATAGGCTTAAACTCGCATTGTCGAAGCGAATCTTCCATGACTTCGGCTTGGGGAGAGCCTCGAGAGAAGGAGAAGAGTTGAAGAATGTTTGTGAGCTCTCTTGATGAGAAAGGAATGTCATCAGCTTTTTCTCTGGGCAAAAACTTAGGAGATTTAGAAAGGTCCCAGTGTGGAAAATAGATCACCATTTTTTTCCCCGCTTTTAGATCCTCCATACGAAAGAACACGAACAACGAAGGGTCCATATGATCCATGTTTGATGATGGATAGGCATGGACATGCTCTGTATGTATGCCTCGGTGAGCATCGTTATCTTGCTTATCATGTACGTTATTGTCATGCTTGATATGAACATCCATGCTATGAAGCCGCAAAATGCTAGGGTGATTATCATCAACCTGAGCATTAGTTCAGAGGATTCAACTCATTATAGTGATCATTATCATATCCCTCTGTAGTCATGCATCTTTACCTGTTTCTTTACTTGATTTGTATTTGTTGACTCTGTCCAATGTTTTTCTGTCATATCCCTGGCTCCACTTCCATGGGCACACTGCCAAAAAAAAAAAAAGAAGAAAATTCGAATATATACTTAATCAGTTTCCCACATATGCTTTCTTAGATTTACAATCAACTTTGTAACACGAAACTCACATATTCAGAGTGTAAATCCTCCTAAATACAATAAAAACAACCTTTAAATGGGGTCTCGTGATGCTGAAATCTATATGCTTCCCAAAGTGAACCCTCTTACATACAATCTTATGCTTATGCTTACCAGGACTATTGAGAGGAGAAGGACGAAAGAAGCAGCTGATTCCATCTCTTCAAACCTGTGTGCTGATAATTTTTTTGATCTATTTAATTGTATGTAAGCTCTAAGACTTTATGTTATTTATAGATGATTAAATGCCAGATATCTTATCCCAAGATGAAACCTCAAGATTCAAGTTGGCAATTTTCAATTAGCAATATAAACGGTCACCTGGTGATGGAGCTCACTGCTTTCGGAATCGAGCAAGTAAGATTAAACTTGCACGGTTTTCCAACATTTTATATATAGTATAAGAAGCAATACTTCAATAATATTTATCTTGTTTTCTTGGATATGAAGTATATTAATTATATGCCATTAACTTCAATAATATTTAGCTTCCTTTAATTGCCAAGGAAATGCCCAGCTCCAAAGTGTTTGGTAGGTGGACAATCTCGTTGTTTATCATGCAAACCAAAAGGGTTGGAGAGTGTAGCTTTGATGACCGTTAAGTCATCAACATTTTCGATGACTTCCTTCTAGGAGCTAGGTAGTTCGGAGAACTGGTTCTTTTTCGTCCATTTTATTTCTATTGCAACTATCTATTATGAAAAGTAGGGTCGTTGAACCGCAGTTATTTCGATATCCCTGTAGTAGAATAGGGAATCTGGTTATATCCGATTAGATATGATTCGAAAGTGAGGTCAACGTATTCGATAGCACCTCGAAGTATTATCAAGAATTTGACCAAATGTCAAGGTCAGTAATTCATCTTCAACCTGGTGAACATGGAATCTGGTGAAAATTCATCTTCAACATTCAAATGAATTTTTAAATCTTGTGGCAATTCATCTTCAACCTCCAAATGAATTTGTCAACTCTTTCGACAATTCATCTTCAACCTCGAAACTAATATGTCAACTCTGATGACAATTCATCTTCGACCTCCAAATGTCTATGGTGACAAGTCATCTTCAATGTCCAAATCAAGGACAATTCTTCTTCAATCATGTGAAGTCATTCCTACTTATAATAGTTGAAGTCTTGCTCCTTATATTATATCAAACGTTGTACAATCGTGCAATTCAATGTCACTTACTTGATTTCAAAAGCAAGGATCTCTATCACCAAGTGGCTATTATATTGCTATATTTAGGTTCCAACTTGAATCTTGAGGTTTCATCTGATAGTCAGATATGTGACACTTGGTCTATAAATGGCATTGAGTTTTAGAGCTTTCATGCAATCAAACAGATCAAAAAATTTATCAGTTTATAGTGTTGAAGCCATGGGATCAGCTTATGCTTTCTGGGCTCTCCTCTCACTTGTCCTGGTAAGTATGAGTCAAACTCAAAATCCTGTTGTTTACTTCAAGCCAACTCACAATTTGGGACAATAAACTTAGCTAATTTATGTAATATTAGTATGATGGGTCTACCCTCTTCATACTTGCACTCTATGTACTTCTGACACTCTCTCTCTCCCACTCTCTGCTTTTTTTTTTTTTTTTTCTTTTTGGTTCTTGAGCAGTTTGTAAGCATTATAGATGCAAGACCCGACCCTCGAGAATACTGGAAAGGTGTCATGAAAGATCAACCCACGCCTGAAGTAATTCAGAATCTTATCCGTAAGGGTACGGAGGCACCTCATCTATCTGATAAAAAAAACGATTGTCAAACATCAATGGAGACGGCAAAAAATGATAAGCTTGTTGGGAATTTTGAGAATACAAAAGATCAACTTTCTACGAAAGAATTTCAAGCAAGATCTAATCCCAAAAGCTACAGATCCTATGGCGATACTCAACCAATGGAAGATGAGTTGTCGGTGAAAGAGTTTGAACCAAGACCTAATCCCAAAGTCTACGAAGCCTATGCTGATGCCATGCCAATAGAAGACAAGTCTTTGGTGAAAAAATTTGAACCAAGACCTAATCCCAAAGCCTACAGATCCTATGCCGATGCCATGCCAATGGAAGATAAGACGTCGTTGAAAGAATTTGAACCAAGACCCAATCCCGAAGGCTACAAATCCTACGCCGATGTCATGCCAATGGAAGAAGAGAATTCTTTGGTGAAAGAATTTGAACCAAGATCTAATCCCAAAGGGTACAAATCCTATGCCGATGTCATGCCGATGGAAGAAGAGAATTCTTTGGTGAAAGAATTTGAACCAAGACCTAATCCCAAAGGCTACAAATCCTACACCGATGTCATGCCGACGGAAGACAAATCGTTGGTGAAAGAATTTGAACCAAGATCTAATCCTAAAGGCTACAAATCCTATGCCGATATCATGCCGACGGAAGACAAGTCGTTGGTGGAAGAATTTGAACCAAGACCTAATCCAAAAGGCTACAAATCCTACGCCGATGTCATGCCGATGGAAGAAGAGAATTCTTTGGTGAAAGAATTTGAACCAAGACCTAATCCCAAAGGCTATAGATCCTATGCCGATGTCATGCCGATGGAAGAAGAGAATTCTTTGGTGAAAGAATTTGAACCAAGACCTAATCCCAAAAGCTACAAATCCTACGCCAATGTCATGCTGATGGAAGAAGAGAATTCATTGGTGAAAGAATTTGAACCAAGATCTAATCCTAAAAGTTATGGATCCTACGCCGATGCCTTGCCAATGGAAGACAAGTCTTTGGTGAAAGAAGTTGAACCAAGACCTAATCCCACGATGATGGTAATCTAAAATAAGAGAAGCCATTGGCTGGAGATTTCGATCCAAGCCCTAAGGTTTATATTCTTAAGACTTAGTCTAATGCATTGGAGTCTACAATTTCAATGCCATGTGAGAAGAAGATGGTCCATGTTTGTGTAAATATCTGGTGTAAAGTGTGTGATTATGTGTACTTAATAAAGAAGTGTGCGACAGTGGTGATGAAATAGAAGTTGCAAGGTTTTTTTTTTTTGGTCTCTAGAAAATTTATGTTTTTATCAAAGAAACTGTTTAAAATAGAGAATACATGAATTTGCCCAAAGAAAAATCATCAAGGGTTTAAGATCTGTTTGGAAAAGACGATGTTACATACATATTATGCTAGGTAATATATTTCTTTAAAAAAAGATAAAAAATTATTTTTGTCTAATCAATTCGATCAACCAATTCTTCTTAAAATTGCTAATGACAAAAAATTTCTTATAATTTAAGGTCAAGTAACAGTCAGTCCCAACCCACCAAACCACCGATATGCATCCACATACACCATCAGAACAACCACACACCAGCACACCCACCTTCGCACAACAACAGCACCACTTAATTATGGGCAGAGCTAGGCTAGGCTACGTGCCTACTCTAATTTTTTTTTGGCCAAAAGTTAAAGGATCTTGTCCTTTCTCAATGCATTTTTCATCGACATTTTCGCCTACATACTTTCAAACATAACGATGTAACTGAGCGAAAGCATTGCAAAATTTTTGAGACAGCTCAAGCTCATACACTTTCTATCTCTATTTCTCGAGAGTCCCGGGCAGAAGTCATTTTAACCTTTGTCTATCTGATTTACTGTTTTACTTCTTTCTACCATTTCTCCGGACCTCTTGTCCTCTCACACTTCTCTTAACCATTATTTTGTTGTCATCTTATTTGGTATAGATATCTAAATGACTATAAACTTTTGGACACGCTTCAAATACGTTACGAGCACATTTGGATTAAATTTGGACATAAATTAAGGTTATTTTATAATTTTTATCAAAAAATATGAGGTCATTTTGATATTTTATACAAATTAAGATTATTGTGTAATAATATGCACGGTCATATTATTGTCTATAAAATAATATCGAGTCACAACTTGCAGTTATAAAATCATTTGGATTTTAAAAAATGTCAAATGGAATATATTTAGTGAACTTGATTATTTTCATTAGATCAAAACAAGAAGCCAATAGAGAACAGAGAAAAAGTGATCAGTGACTATAATTTCCGATTATTATCCGACCCTTTGACAATTATATAGTCCTTTAGGGAGATACGACTTATCCTAATTTGAAGTCCGAATAATCGACGGCAACACAACTATATTAGATTTGTCCTACCACTTTTTGACCAACTCAAAAAAATGGTTAAGATTTCAAAATATGTAATATATCTATTGATTTATTTATTTGTGGCTTTGTCATTAATAAACTATGCACAACAGTTTTTGGTTCACAAATTTTTTAAATGTCAAATATGATGCATACCAGGGAGCACGATTTGGATTTGACTTCTATTATTGTGGAATCCAAGTGGTGAAAACTCATGACTATTACTATGGAGATAACATGAGTTTAAACCATGATCAATGTAAAAGATGGTTTTGCAATATCAGTTGGCATCACAGCATTTCACAAAAATAGTGTAGAACACAAGGTCTGGAGATTTTTGTTTATTCATTTTTTTTGGGGTTGTAGGAGATTCTTATTTGTATAGAATTTTTGAAAATCTAGCACCATATTTGAACAAATTAGATCAAGGAAGGTGTGATGGAACCATGAGAAGCAGGCGTAGGAAACAGAAGAGGTCACACAGGAGAAGTTAGCAGGCACTACGAGTTAACAGTGCATGACATTGCCGACAGCTTCAAACTTTTTAGCCGTCCTATAGGGAATATAGTAAGATACACACTCCCATGTTACACACACACACCCACACACACAGAGTGAATGTTATTACACAGACACTAGTAGATACAACTAGACTGCATAGGAGTCAAACACAAGATGATTGTGCGTACAGGATCTTGTACAATATAAACACGAGAACAGATCTCTTTCGTGGTGAACTCAAGTCAGTCAATCGAATGGTCAACCTTGCTGCTCAGAACAAACTGTGAGGTCCGGTGGTGGCCTGAAACGGTAATGGGTGACTTTTGTGGATCAATGGAGCGGTCCAGTAAGGCTGAGGGAGCTTCCTGGAACAGAAAGAAAATGAGTTAGGAGGGTGCCGGCGTGTTTTTTCGGCGTATCCCCTCCAATGATCAAGTCAGTTCTTTGAGAGAGGGGAAGGAGAAAACATTGTATTTCTTTGAGAAAAAGGTTTTTTTGTTGCATACCGTCTTACCTTTTATGAGGAGTATTTATACCTCAAAAACTCATGATTGCTGTCAGTGTGGTCAGTAGGTGATCATTAGATACGGGCAACGTGCGCACTAATTCCTATGAGGAATGTCTTATCTCTTAACTGCTCAGGATCCCGAGCAACCAATGCTTCGTCATCGACCTGCCGAATGTGTAATGAGCTTCTCTCGGCAAGGATGTAATAAATGCCCAGTCATAGGGACATTTATTACCTTTCACTTCCGAGCCTTCCTGCATTAAATGATGTCTCATCAAGGGAATGGTGCACTAAATGTTTGCTTTCCCAAGTCATGTGTCAGCAAGGGCATCTCGGTCTTTTTGTCTCTGATCTGACACAATATGTCACGCGTCCATTCCTCATTGGTTGTGTCTTCTGCTTTCTTGTGCCTTCTGACACCAATTGTGTAAGACGAGGCTATGATAGCTAACCTATCCTAGCCTAGGCTAGTGACCTGTGTACATCAATAGCCTCTACAGGAGCAGAGAACACCATCCTGGACGGGTACATCTCGGTACCGAGGGGAGTGGTACATGTAGAGACTGATGTACCCCATATCCGACCGAGGGATACGTGTCGGTACGTAAACGTATTGGGTGTCATTGATCCCTATGAACAGTACCTCGGGGGAAGAGGGACTTGTGCACTGACGGGTACGTGTTGTGATCACAGTAACAATAATTTACTGATGCCGAGGACACGTGTCTTCATCTTGGAGTATTTGGAAATGTCCCATCAACTGTCCCCCAGCCTTCGATCTCCTGACATCGAGGACACGCGTCGTAAGGAGAAGAAGGGTTCTGCAACTACCCCAACTACTTCATCATTGCCTCTAGCCGCTTTCCCCTGCTTAGGAAGTCGTATGCATTAAATGCGCCTCTTCGTGCTTCATGCCCAAATGATGGGGATGGATACTATATAAACGGGCTTTCTCTCTCCCTCTCTCATTTCGCCATTTCGAACTTCTTCAGAGAGCCCTTGCCTAAAACCTCGCCGGAGATCCCTTCCCTTTCGTTATCTATTGCCCAATCTTTCACCGGAGTCTCAAGGCCAGTAGACCTATCCTTGCTTCTGAACATCCTAGGGGAAGGAATTACTTCAAGTTTTCAAGAAAAACTTTCGTTTACGTTCTGGCGAGTCCTTGTATCTTCCCTCTCTTCGCCTTTCTGTCTTTTCTTTTCTTCTTCTCGCTGTTTTTATTTTCTTTTGATTTTTCGATAATCGGAGGTATTTTTGGTTGCCATTCTGTGACTAACCCTTGGGAAGCCTCCTCGAGGATCATCATGGGAAAACCCCTCCCTTCTTCCTCAATTTTCATCATTTTTGGAGATGCCCCGACGTCGCCCCACCCCTAAGAATCCTTAGGCTAGTTCCTCGAGGCCAGGGAAGTACAAAGTGAAGGGGAATGAGCAGATTAATAGGTTTAGGGTCCAGTATCGTATCCCTCCATATGTAGACATAGAGGATTATAACTCGACTGTGCATTCTCATACCCTCGGGGCCGAGGATGAGATGCCCTTTTATACTAAAGCCATCATAGAGGCGGAATTAGGTTCCCTCTGCCCCCTCTACTCCTCCAGTTCTTCTCCCATTTTCACCTCTTCCCCGGGCAGTGTTGTCTCAATGTCTTCAGGATAATAATGGTTGTCTTAGAACTCAACAAGCGTCTTGGGATAAATGTTGGGTTGAACGATATCCTCTTTTGCTACTCCTTCTTGAGGGTCATGCCTCAACAAAACTTCTACCTCAAAGTTAGGGACCCATCCATGTACCTCATAACTCACCTTCCTGACTCAGACAAGGGGTACAAGGATGACCTGCTGATCTTCAAGGGGTCCTGGCAGAGGGGTGCCGGTCCCGAATACGATGGTTTGTTATGCCCTTTGGAATGGAGAACGACGAGTACGTCGGCTTCTTCGAGTTTATTATTTTATTCTTGAGATTTTTTAGAAGTGTTCATAACTCCCTCTCCTCTTTCTCTCTTTTTTTTTGTGTAGACGTCTCTGCTTGAGAAACAACTCCTCCACTTCGGTCCTTGGTAAACTTTACCGACCTCGTCTCTGTTTGGAGATTTGTTGGCGACGACGGGTTCGACCGGGCTGCTCACGTTCTTCTGAACTACACTCCCGGATATAAAAAGTTCTAACAGCTCCCCCAGTTTTTTGAGCCTTCGATGTGGTCTGAATTCTTCGATCAGGCTGCGCAACAAGAGGTCGAGGAGAATTTGGAGGAAGAACGCGACCGGGCTATAGAGGCTGAAGTAGAGGGTGTTGTTGAAGTTGAGGAGTTCGGGGCCAAGGAGGTTTTTGTTCCTTCGTACGCCGAGGTGGGGACTTCGGTGAGAGATTCGTGGCCTGACTTCCAAATCTTGCAATCCCTAGACGAGGATGACGCCCTCGAGGTAGCCATGTCGAACACGCCTCGCATAGATCTGGGGTTCCTGAGGCAGAGGCAGGCCCTCGCTGCCAAGAGGGGACGAGGATCAACCAGCGGAGCCCTATCTTCAAGAGTTGTTGGTTGGGGTCAAGTGCGTGACCAAGATCCTCAGGTAGAGGAGGAGAGGAGGGTCAAACAAAGGCATAACGGCCTTGGCAGGGGATCTAGGGCCCCCTCCGCTCAGCAGCAAAGCGGGAGAGGCCATGAGTTACTTCCTCCTCCCCAGCAGCAACAGTAACAACTGAGGCAAAAACAACAGTAACAACAGCAGAGACAGACTTCACCTCCCCCTCCACAGACGGTGGAAGCCGCAGAGTGAAATCCCCGGGCCACTG